ACCGGTGGATTCTTTTAATTTCTATTTTTCTCTGTGGTTCTAAAATATCAGGGAAGTTTTCCATGATCATTTCTTGAAAGATGATGTCTAGGCTCTTTTTTTGATCATGGCTTTCAGATAGTCCAATAATTTTTAAGTTCTCTCTCCTGTATCTGTTTTCCAGGTCAATTGTTTTTCCAATGAGATATTTCACATTGTTTTCTAATTTTTCATTCTTTTGGATTTGTTTTACAGTGTCTTGATTTCTCATAAAGTCACTAGCTTCCAATTGCCCTAATCTAATTTTTAAGGAAGTATTTTCTTCAGTAATCTTTTGGACTTCCTTTTCCATTTGTCCAATTTTGCTCTTTAGGGCATTCTTTTCTTCATTGGCTTTTTGGACCTCTTTTGCCATTTGGGTTAGGCAATTTTTTAAGGTGTTATTTTCTTCAGTATTTTTTTGGGTCTCCTTTAGCAAGCTGTTAACTTGCTTTTCGTGATTTTCTTGCATCACTCTCATTTATCTTCCCAGTTTTTCCTCTGCTTCTCTTACTTGCTTCTCAAAATCCCCTTTGAGCTCTTTCAAGGCCTGGGACTGATTCATATTTTTCTTGGAAGTTTTGGATGTAGGAGCTTTGACTTTGTTTTCTTCTTCTGGTTGTATGTTTTGATCTTCTTTGTCACCAAAGTAAGATAATATAGTGTGACTCTTTTGCACTGCTTGCTCATGATCCCAACCAATTACTTGAGTTTTAAACTCTTTGTTAAAGTAAGAGTCTGTTTCCAATGTGGAGAATGTACTGTCCCAAGCTTCAGGGGTTTGTACAGCTGTTTTCAGAGACACTTCTAGGGACCTGAAAAGTATCAGTTCTTCCAAGGTGCTATGATAAGGGGTGAGGTGTTTCGTCTCCACTGCCACAACAAGCTCCATGCCAGCGCTCATCCTCGCCCCAGGACCACCCCTTAGAACTGTGACCCAGATCCAAGCCTGGGCAAAGCAAGAGATTTCTGCACTGGCAAAGAGATCGTTGCAATTCCCCTCTGATCAGACACTCGATTCCCCCTCAGTCTGTAGGCTGGAAGCTCAGGACACAGCCACTGCCACGAGTCTGGACTTGCGGCTGAGACCTTGCTTCTTCTCTCACCGCAGTCACAGACTTTTCCCACTGGCCTTCCAGGTTGTCTTTGGCGTTCCTGGGTTGAGAAGTCTGGAAACTGCCACAGCTGCCCGGGATTCAGTCCTCTGAGGCCTGCTCCAGGTTCGCTGCGGCCTGTGTGCCCCTGCCCAGCCGGCGCAATACACCTTTCCGATCAGCCATCCAGGTTGTCTTGGGCTGGAAATTTGTTTTACTCTGTTTTTTTGTGGGTTCTGCTGATTTAGAATTTTTTTAGAGCCATTTTTTTATAGGTATTTGGAGGGGTTTGGGGAAGAGCTCTAGCAAGTCACTGCTTTCCCTCTGCCATCTTGGCTCCGCCCCCTCCGAAATTTTCTATCTTCTATTATAAGCTATTTGTTCTCCCAGGTTTTTTTTTTGAGAGCTCTAAATTTCCTTCTTTATTAGTTGCATACTTGTTTTCTTCTGAACTTTTAGCTTGTAGTCTCTTAATCTATAGTTTTACTTCTATTTACATATATCTTCTCCTTCTCTGCCAGAGAGAGAGACTGGGAAAGATTTCATAACTTGACTGTGTCACATTTCCCCCACCCCAACGCCCATCTTCTGTTATTTCTGCATTTGCTGGAGTTATTGTTACTCAGCAAAGGATCAGGGAATGGGAGTACCAGCAGTGAGCTCTTTTTTAGGACTAGAGTGAGACAACTAACAATCTTGCTCAGCAGTAGCTTTTTGCCTATCTTTTCTAGCAGTCTTACGTTTTGGGACACTAAAGTGGTAAGTTGTGCTTCTGGGATCCTAATCTCTGTACTCTGCCCCCCTTCTCGGTTCTAAGGTAGAGAATGCACATTGACACACACTTAAAGGTGTGTTTTCTCTCCTTCCTTCTTTTTCCCTCTCTCCCTCCTTCTACTTTATTATCTAGCAAACCCTAGCCTTCTTGTTGTTCCTTGCACATGATATTCTGGTTTCCCAACTTATCACTGGCTAACCCCTATCCCTGGAACACTCTCCCTCTTCACCTCTGTCTTCTTGCTCTCTCTAACCTTTTTCAAGACTCAGTTCAAATATCATCTGGGCAAATTGCCCTAGAATGTATTCCCTTCCCTTCTTCTTTTTAAAGTCCTTAGCTTCCTTCAAGGCTTATCTCAGGTACCACTTCTTACTTTTCCTTACTTCTCCTCATTTTCCTTCAGTTACTAGAACTCTCTTGAAATTATTTTGTATTATTTTATATACTTTATGTTTATTAAAAATTTTTTTCAGGTTGTATTTTCCCTGTAGAACATACTCTTTAAGGGTAGGCACTGTTGTTTTTGCTCTTGTATTCTCAGTGTTTTCCACATGGTAGATATTTGAATTGAATTGAATTGAATTGGTGTTATCACCTAAACTGCAAATTCTGGCAAATTGTAAAGCTCTGTAAAACCAATAGATTACTAAGACTTAACTTATTTCAAACAATGTTCAATACTATAATATTCTAGTCCATTCCCTTGAAGTTTATTTTAATGAGATTTAATCTATAGGTATCACATTTTTCTGAGAAAGGGCTACTCCATTTTGGCAAAAGAATGAAATTTATTCCTTCCTCATATTAGAGGGGAGACATCATATTAGGGGGGAAAAAATCCACTGCAGAAATGACTTAAAAGTTCATCTGAGGCTTTGGGAGTTAGTTTTAAGCTCCGTATAAGTCAATAGCATGATATTACTATCAAAAAAAGCTGTTACAGGCTAGTAGAACATGATATTCAAGAATAGGGAGAATGGTAGTACTTATGTCTTCTTCCCTAGTTAGACTACATCTGGAATATGATCCTTTATAGGCTTCACATTTTAAGGAGAATCTTTTCAAACTTGAGTGCCTCCAGAGGAGGATGATTAGGATGTAGAAGGGACATAAACCATTTTATGTGAAGATCAGTTGAACAGCTTAAGCAGGAGTAGTGTTAGTGTGAAAGTCTTTATCTTGGATAAAAGAAGGTTTAATACTTAGGTAATAGAAGGTTTAATACTTAGGTAATAGAATGCCTGAGCCTGAAGGGACCTAGTTCATTGTAGTTCAGCCCCCATAAAAAAAAGAAACATAGAGAAACTAGGTCATTTTCCTAGATCACATAGCCAACAAGCAACATTGTTAGGATCCAAATCCAGGTTGTCTGACTATAAATCCCATTGCTCCAGTAGCTATAGGAGCATAGTATAGAGCATAGTATCTGTTAGAAAGAAGAACTAGTCTTATTCTCTTTGAGTCCAAAGAGCATACCTAAGCAAATGTTAAAGAGAAGTGAATTTCAGCTCAGTATAAGGAAGGATTTTCTAACAGTTGTGATGAAATGGACTGCTCAGTGAGATTGTTCCGAAATTGTTCAAGTAATTCAAGAGACTGTGGATCTTGACTAACAATTGGGGAGGAATTTGACTAGATTTTCTATAAGACTTTTTCCTCTTTATCAGTTATCCCAATGTCTTTGAGCAGTTAACAAATTTCTCAGTTAACTGAGGTTTTTTAGTGTATTTAGTATATTCAGCAGAGCCCAATAAAGGCATGACCACACTAGCCATAACTTTGCATTTAACCACAAAGTAGCCTTCAGGATCTCCCAACCCTATTGCTGATTGACAAACTATTTTTTAAAATGCCAGTTTTTCATATAATAGTCTTGAATGGAGGCAAGGAAGAAGGATATTCATCTATACTTTCAGTAATTTGTTTTTAGTAGTTTAATTCAGTCTTAACGTGGAGAATGCTTATAATATTCCATGTGAATATTAAATGAGGGATAGAAAAAGCCATCTTGGAACAAGAATTTTGAATTTCTCCCCTGTGATTTCTGCACCCTAACGAAAGGTTCAAATTTTAGAATGTGTTAACAGGATTTTACTGAGCCAGTCTCTAACCTGAGAATGACGAAACAGCAGACCAGAGACAAACTGCCAATAATCAGGTAGCTGTTTAATTAGTTTTATTATGAGAAACAGAGTTGCAAATCGGGAATTCTCCTGATCAGAATTCCACTTTGCTGAAGTGAAGACAGAGGTTATATACATAAATCACAAGTGGGAAGGTGGATTACAAACAATCCTTCCCAGGGCCAGAGTGGTTTCCCATGACAAACCCTCAAATGGAGAACAATTCAACAATTCTGGAGTCTTGTGGGAGCAATATTGCTCGAGTCCTTGGGGGTTGTTACTTGGTAGGTCACAGGACGAGAGTTCTGTGACAGGACAGGTTGTGCAGTCTTTGGTTTACTTTGCTTCAGGTATGCAGGCAGAAGGATGCCAGTGATCAGTTCAAGCTGCATTGTGAGCTCTTCCACAAGAGAGGCAATTCTGAAAAGTCTAATCTATTAGTGTATTCATTACACATACCATATTGATTATTGTAAAAATCAGCATTTCCTCCAGAAATGCTTAGGCTTAGTTTATTCTAAGAAATATTTTCAGGGCCTCCTGAAAAGGGGTTGAAAAACTCTTTCATGTAATCATTGGCATCATTATGGAAAAATTATTTCTTTAGCTCCCTTTCATTTTAGGTATGTTAGCTATTAGTTTATTTAATACCTAGAGATAGGGACTTGAGTCTTCTCCATTCTTCATAACTTACTAGAACAACAGGTATGTTGCCCTGTACACATTGGATACTCGATAGTTTTACAAAACCATGCTTCTCTGAAAATTTTAAAATACCTTTTTTTGTTGGTTTGTTTATAATCTCAAGAGCTAAAAATGCCTACTTTTTTGTGTATTGCTAATATTCATTCCTTTGAATGGATTTTGTAGTGGTCCAGAAGCTCCCTGGAAGAGTTTTAGCTATAATTACTTCATGGATGTGGAAGTCATTCCAATGTCTCTTTGTTCATGTTCACAATTTTTTTTTCTGCCACTTGTTTTCTCTGACAGCTCCTGAATATTGGTGTTCAATTGCTTACTTTGAAATGGACGTTCAGGTAGGAGAGACATTTAAAGTTCCTTCAAGCTGCCCAATTGTTACTGTTGATGGATATGTGGACCCATCTGGAGGAGACCGATTTTGCTTGGGTCAGCTCTCGAACGTTCACAGAACTGAAGCCATTGAAAGAGCAAGGTAACATAGCAAAAATGAATGTAAACATATTGGCAGAATAAAATTTGTTTTTGTTTTTCCTTTTTTTTTGATGAGGCGATTGGGGTTAAGTGACTTGCCCAGGGTCACACAACTAGTAACTGTTAAATGTCTGAGATCAGATTTGAACTCAGGTCCTCCTGACTCCAGGGCTGGAGCTCTATCCACTCTTGTTTTTTCTGAGGCCTACATTTCTATATAGATTATATGGGCTTTTATGTAGTGAGGTAGATATCAGGGACATAACATTTAAAAAATGTATGTGACTTTCTGTAATTTTAGTTCTGTCGTTAAATGGCTAAGTAATTTGGAATTCTTTAGTTTAATTTATTAGGTTAAGTGATGAGATGTATGAAAAATTCGAGAGACATTATTTCTGGGTAATTAATAATTTTATTAATTTGGCTAGTGAATAATTAATAAAAGGATGATCATTTGGCCTTCTCTCTAAATGAAAGACCTCTCCTGGAAGGCCTCTTGACACTTATATACCCTTGGAAGAGTGGGTGTTCCCGACAGGGGCAATCAACTCTGATTGGTTAACAATGAGAGAATGAATATTATTATTATTATTTTTTAAGGCAATTGGGGTTAAGTGACTTGCCCAGGGTCACACAGTTAGTACATCTCAATTGTTTGGTCTGAGGTTAGATTTGAACTCAGGTCCTCCTGACTTGGCCAGTGCTCTATCCACTGCACCACCTAGCTGCCCCAAGGATGAATATTATAATGAGAAGTGGACCTGTTCTAGTGAGGGGCAGGGGAAATGACTTTGATTATGTTACTCTTACTCCTAGACCACCCCCAGCCTCTGGCAATCTAGACAAAGAATCTGGGTACCACCACCACCACCACCACCACCCCCAGCCTGAGTAGAACACAATGGGCTGGAATTCACCTAGATTGGATTCTTTTTGTAGGGTTTTTTCTAATTGGGTGGGGTAACAATTCCACCTAGGTAAGATGGCCTAGGTGAGGTACATTTTTGGGCAAGGTCAGTAATGTCCTTCGAAGGCTGCCTATATTAACCTACAGGGGTTTACTTCTGAATAAGGAAATAAAAAGAAAAAAAATCTTAATCTCAATTAAGCATTGGTTGGTAATATGAGAGATAATTTCTCAGGAATAAGATAAAAGAAGCATTAATTAAAATGTGTTAAAAACAGATTTTGGTAAAATGTGAAAATACATTAAAATTTAATTTTCTTTTCCCTCTTTTTAAGGTTGCACATAGGCAAGGGTGTGCAGTTGGAATGTAAAGGTGAAGGTGATGTTTGGGTTAGGTGCCTCAGTGATCATGCAGTGTTTGTGCAGAGTTACTACTTAGACAGAGAAGCTGGGCGAGCACCAGGAGATGCTGTTCATAAGATTTATCCGAGTGCATATATAAAGGTCGGTGTTTTAAATTTGTGGAATTTTTTGCTTTCTCAAACTGATTATTACTACATTTACAAGAATTTGAGGTAGACAGAAAATGAAATGGTTTTTGTATTTAATTGTAGTAAGTGTGGAATTATTAGAAAGTTATGATTAATATTCTGAGAACTTATTCTTAGTGGATTTTGCAGACGCAACCATGAACTAATTATTTAGTGATTAGTGTTTTTTCAGTTAGCAGACCCTAGGGTAGCAGACCCTTTTAACAGAGAATCTATTGTAAAATTTTTACTTTAGAGTAACATGAAACCTCTTGTTTATCACGAAAGTATTTTAATGTAGTGGAACCTCACAAATTCAATTTGGAATTTGCAAAAAGGAAAACATGTCCTCACTGAACAAAAAAAATGTTAAAAATTTTTTCCTCTGCAAATTTTTAGTATCTTATGAGTAATGGGAATCCAGTCTAAAATTAGTAGCTTTTCAAACTGAGGGCTCAAAAATTTAAGAAATCCTTCAACATGTCTTTAGCATCTGAGTCCAGCTATTCTTGTATGTTAAAAGAATTTTATATTTGATGCACTATTATGTAATTTGGGCCTATTGTGAATTACCTTGTTTTCACTAATTTTTCTCTAATTTTCACTAATTTTTGCATATTAGACATATAAATTGACATTTATAATATGCATTCCACATGAAAGAATGGTAATTTAATAATTTATATTTTGGGGGGGGCTAGTCAGTGGGGTTAAGTGACTTGCCTAGGGTCACACAACTAGTGAGGGTCAGCTGTCTAAGGCCGCATTTGAACTCAGGTCCTCCTGACTCCAGGGCTGGTACTTTATTCAGTGTGCCACCTAGCTGCCCCATAATTTGTATTTTTTAACAAATTATCTTGGACCTCTCCTGCTTGTGATCATTTTTATGAATTTAGTGAGGTTTTAATGTATATTGATTAACAGTGACTGAGAAAGACTTCCCTTTAGTTCCTGGGAAGTTACTTGGGATACCATATTAATTCAGTCAAACATATCTTGTACAAAAATGTTAGCCCTCCTAAGCCATATTCTCAGGGGTCTCATTTTAAGCTATCATTCCATTAAAATTTGTGGGTTTAATGATGGACCATTTCTGAAGTAATTAAATTTTACATATTAAGGTTTAATTGGTATAAACTGCTATTGAGTTGCCATAGAAGAAGTTTTGTTTAATTTAATATTTTAGCAAAGGTATCATACTTGAATATCCAGAGTGTGGCAGTTTGTCTAAAGACAAACAGACATTTGATGAGCACTGTAACCGACCATTTTTACAGTGACCTCAAGCTTTTCTTGTTAGCAGTGAACACATTCTATGAAATATTTCATTGTAAATGCACAATGTAAAGAGAACACTATTCCTTCTGGTTTATTAGACTTTTTGAAACTGGCAAAAAAATTCCTGTACTTCACCAAGTATGTATTCAGTACATTCTTCAGCTTTTATTAGCTAAAATAAAAAAGCAATTTGGATGTACACAAAATCTAAGCAGTGGCATTTTATCTGTTAACAGTCTTTGGGCAGTAGAACCTAAGATACATGTATAGAGAGTGGCATCCATATTGCCAAATAATTTAAATAAATCCTCATTTGTTTCACAGAGAGGCAGTGTAGTGTAATGGATAGTGAGGTAGCCTTGAAGCCAGGAAGATCTGAGTTGAAGTGCTACCTCTAATACATACTGACTGACCATGACCAGATCACCTGATCTTGTGGTGTTCTAGGTAACTCCAAGACTATAGATTGCAAAGGTGATAATGTGCATTGATTGGTATACTTATTTGGAAGTTCTCAATGAAATCACAGGTCCATTCTTGATCCCTCTCCTTTGATTCGTTTTAACTTATTGGTACCAGTGTTGTCATTTAACCTTTTAGACCAAATAATTCAGCAAGTATTACGTATAATCCCTTCAATAGTGAATGAAGACTGCATATCACACTACAAATAACTGCAGTATGACTTAGAGTCTACCAGCAGGAAGTCATAATTTGCTTCCCACCCTCAAATTCCTTCCTTTTCATAACTAAATCTCTGGATACTTGAGCACATGGGGGCTTGCTTGTTTAGGAGGCAGAGTGGTGTGGTGAAAAGAACACCAGTGAAATTAGAGTTGGAAAACAGGCACTAGAACCAGTGATCTGGTTTTAAACCTCCTTCTTCCCAAATGAAAGTATTCTGTCTTTCCTATCCTCGAGTACTTTGGATTCCTCATTTTCTGGCATCACACCTTACCTTGTATTATACTTGTATATGTATATGTTTTATCTACATCAGCAGAATATAACTTCCTTAAGGGTAGGGGTTGTCATCTTTTTAATATTGAATCTCTAATTTCTGTCCTAGTGCTTTGTGCATAGTAAGCAGTAAAGAAATGTTTGAATCCAGTTGGACCATATGTTCATATTTCCAGCATAGTGCTTCACACTTCCTAATGTCATTATTTTATTTTAAATTCATTTTTTAATTGAAGGTTTGGGTTTTTTTGCTTAATGTTCACATTCTGATTTATGAAAGCATTGTCAAAGATTTATCACTAGGCTGCTTTTGTAAGTAAATACTTAAATTCAAACCCTGGGGAGAAAAACAACCAATATTAGTTGGAGATATTTATGAAGCATTTACTTGTGATAGAGATGATTACTTTTATCCGCATTTCAGAGCTGGCTAGAAATATTTCCGAACAAAGGAAGTTCAAATGAAGTTGCCTAATTAACTCAAAACTACTCAGAAGTATTTTTGGCCCCAAGCCAACATCTGTTTAACATTAGTTATTTCTAAATTGTCCTAAATTGTCTCAATAAGGGGAGGTAGCATTTTAATAATGTCTTTAATTATATATTCTAATATTTGCAGATGGAAATTATGATATAATGGATGCATCAGAATTTGACAGCAGAGAACAACTAACTTTTTTCCCAGCATTGTAGCTGGGAAGAATTGTCAGGCTTTTAGATTTGATGTCTTTTAACTTCAGAAGTAACTCTTGTAGGAGAAAAACACTGCCGAGATTCTTATATTTGATTATCAATGCTCCAGTCGCCAAGTTTTATCATTATAATTACTTTGTATGCTATTGATATCATAGTAGATTTAGTCTAAAACAACCATACCTGAAATTGTTTACAACAGCCTATGAAATCAAGTGTGATTAGCAATGTGGTAAAATCATCTATGTTATTTTTATTTTCTCTGCCAGAGGTTTTGGATCAGCGTATTTTAATTGTTGAAATTTAGTAAGTTTTACTGCCCCTCATTTTGACTAAAATCACATGTTAATTGGGGAGAAAACAAGAAACGAGTAGTTATTAAGGCCATTGATAGGTACATAAGCAGAAGGTATCTGTTAACATCTTGGATATTTCATTCTAGCACTGTAGAGGTTCTGTAATCTAATTCTGGTGCAAATTCTTGTGATGATAAAATTATAATGTACTTGCCTTTGACCTCATTATGAAGTAGACATAAATGGAATTAGAGTGAACATTATCCAGTAAACTGATATGTGAATACATAATAGAAGTTTGTGGTTTTTACTTAGCTGGTGTTTATCAGCAAAGGCTTTCTAGAAAAAGGTGTGTCTTGAACAGAGTTGTAAACAATGGGGAGGAGTGTGATTTTGCACATTTGGGAAAATGAAAATTATTTTATATGTATATGAATAACCTAAGCTGTTAGCTCAAATGGGGGAAAGGGTGCTTTATCTAGTTTGCTTTGATTCATACCTAATAATGTGTCAATTATAAAGTGATGGGTTTTGTATATTTGATACTGTAGCTAAAGTTAATCAACTAGGTACTTACCCATCATGGATATGGAATTGAGGAGTTTCTGTATACATTTAACACTTTGGTTCGTAAACTGATAAAAGCCTAGAAAAAACAATAAATTATCTTTCTTTTGTTTTCAAGGTTAATTTAAGCCTTTCTAACACTTCTCTTAATTATGACTTAGCATATCAGAATGATATTGTTGTGTATATGTGTTGGGTTAAGGAGAGGGAAGGTTAGCCTGCTAAGTTGGGAATTTTTAATCAGCATTATTTGGTAGTTTATTAGTAAGTGGTAAAGTAACGGGATTAAAGGTTTAGTACTCGTGGACCAATGACTTTTTTGGGAGGAGTGGAGGGGTGAGGCAGTAGGGGTTAAGTGACTTGCCCAAGGTCACATAGCTAGTAAGTGTCAAGTGTCGGGTCGGATTTCAATTCAGGTCCTCCTGACTCCAAGACTGGAGTTTTATCCACTGTGCCACCTAGCTGCCCCTGGACCAATGACTTTTGTTTTGTCCCATGACTCCTAGCCTAACCTTAGCCATATGCCTAGTAAATGCATGCTACTTATTATGAGGACGCCTAGTCAGGACAGTTCTGATGGCTCACCGTAAATCCCTCTTCATTATTGTAGGAGAGGGGGAAAACCACCAAAATTTCTTTTTTTTAACTTAAAAATCAAATGTTATTTTTGTCCCAGTTAGCTATAAATCAGTCCCCCCCCTTACCTACCCTCATCCACCATTAGAACATTTGTAAAAATATGCATAGTTAAGCAAAGCAAATTCCCACAGTGACCATATCCAAAATATGTCTTATTCTACATGTTGAATCCATCATCTCTTTCAGGAGGTCTGTGGCATGCTTTATTATCACTCCGCTAGAATCATGGTTGATCAGTGTTTGGATCAGAATTCTTAGACTTTCAGGGGTGTTTGTTTTATATGTTGTTATTGTTATTGTATGACTTATTCTCCTAGTTCTGCTCACTTCATTCCTCATAATTTCACGGTTTCACTGAAACCATCCCTTTCATGATTTCTTACGGCAAAATATGCCATTACCTTCATATACCATAATGTGTTCATTCTGCATTTGGTGGGTGCCCTCCCCCCTTAATTTCTAGGTCTTTGGGTACTAAAAAAGAGTTGCTTTATTTTTATATGATGTCTTTTTCTTTTTTTTTAACATGTCTTTGGGGTAA